ATTAACTAAAACTAAAAAAAACATTTAAAAAACATTTTCAGTAATTTAAATAAAGCTACCATAAAATTAAAATAATTTCAAATATTACATGAAAACCCTAAACTTAAAAATAAACTTACACATTTGAAATAAAATATTTTTATTTTACTAATTTAATTTAAATAAAAGTACATGGAATTACTTTAAAAACTTAATATAAAAATAAAAGATCATTCAAAATATTAACAAATACTATATAATATAAATAATTCTAAAATAACACTGATCTTTGCATGATGCATACTGTATTGGATATAGATGCATAAAGAAAGTCTAGGCAGTGGTTCTCAATTCCAGTCCTGGGGGCCCCCTGCTCTACACATTTTGCATGTCTCCCTTATTTAACACACCTGACTGAGATCATCAGCTTGTTATGGATCTCTCTCCATGAACTGAACTAACGAACTGATGATCTCAATCAGGTGTGTTAAATAAGGGAGACATGCAAAATGTGCAGAGCAGGGGGCCCCCAGGACCGGAATTGAGAACCACTGGAGGGGACTTACCTGAAAGCCACTGAGCTCTTGTCATCTGGCCCTTTAACCACAACACCTGTGGCCCCACCAGATCGTACAGCAAACACCTGAAATCACACAAAACACCAACTATTATACTCAGAAAGCATAAGTTATAATTGAGCAATCATTCAATACCATAGTGTATAGAAAAGGATCATTTGATACCACTGTATAGCCACAGCACTTTTTGATATATGAACAGATCACTACATTTGATCCCAAACAGCCATAAACCTGGTGACTAAAATACACGACAGAGAGCTACTGCACATTACAGGGTTACAGTCATTAATTACTTGAGGACCACTGCATAGTACATTTACGTGCCAATCTAAACATTTGTTATTAAGTTTTATGGAAGCATTTATCAACATCTAGGCTACATTATGACTGTGCCCATCGGGACAGCATTCAAAATGCGCCTATGTTGCCCAAAAATGCTGTCTAGGAAGACAGCTCATTAGATTTTGAGACACAGCCATGATATCGCTTCATAATGTCATAATTACACTTCAAATTATTAAACGTGTCCCCACCTGTTTATTGGCCTCGTCGAAAAACACATTGTTGACGCTGGATGCGTTCTCAAACTGCACGGGGTTTTCACTGAGCTCTAGATAATATTCTTCACTCATATCGTTTTATGTAACTTACAGTCGTTTATTCCGCAGCTTTGTGTTTTTACTTTAGCTAGTGTTTCCACTTCCGCGTCCGTCAAAAGTGAGGCAGTCATGTGATGCTCAAGCGGTCATGTGACGTCTCCTCAGAAACGCTGCACTATAACAATAAACATGGAAATTAAATTGCTCTTATAAGATCATATGATAGCATTTCATATAGGTTGTTCTAACTCATCAGGGATATACATGGTTAAGGGAATTCAATTTCGGACATTTTAAGGCAAAAAGTATTTGAGACGAATTTCCAACAAAACTAAGATTACCATGAACTAGGCTACTTCTTTGGGGTGACCGTCAAATATCAAAAAGGAAATCTGTTTTAATTCATTTGATTAACATTTTAATAAAATTAAACAGGGCTTTACAGTTTTCTTACTTTTAGGTATTAGTCCTTCTGAAAGCGAATTAAAATAGTTTGTTCAATTTTTTTCTTCAAATGTCAATTCATAAAAATTTACATTTTCAATAACTGTAGGCAAATATATTTAGCCTATAATATATATAGTAATATATTAGCCTAACATTACTATGCTATAGTTTTTGGACATTAAAGGTTTGTTTACCTCACCCAAAAATGAACATTTTATCAATTTTGTTCACTGGTTTTCCAAAAAAGCAACCCAATGTAAGTGAATTAGGACTTATAATTCTGCCTAACATCTATGTTGTGTTCCAAAAATAAAGAATTATTAATTATTAAAGAATTAGAAAATATTCATTCATTCATTCCGCCAATAGATAAATAAAACGCGACAACAGCGCGTGTAACGTGAATTGACTTTATTTTCACATGTAGGCCTAATAACTTTTGATATGAATGCGTGAATGAAAAAGTGGTCACACTGTCGTTCAAAACACCAGCGCTGGGATTTTAAACAGCAGCTTGTCCACTGATGTTTAATAATTAAGTAGATCAGTGAGCTTGTCAGATTTATTGGCTCAGCTTTCAAAAAATGCAGTCCATGAAATCATAACGTGATCGTGACGTGTTCAGGTCAGCGAGGTCTGTGACGTCACACTTTCCTCCAGAATCAGATCAGCGACGAGAATCACCTGAGCTCTGCCGGAGAACAGCTCAGCATTTGAAACCTAATACACAACATTGTCCAGGCCCTGATAAAGGGGTCCCACAGAAGGTCTTCTGTGGTATGTAGTCCACCCAGAAAATTTGTCCCGTGAATTGTAGTGGCGGCCCGGAGTAAGGACAGCAGTGAACACACGCCTCCCTCAGTTTTATTATATTTTGCTTAAATTTACACTTTAACCCTTTAACTGTCACCCGGGGACGCCTAAGTTTACTTCACTATATTACAATTAAATCCTAATCTAATCATGACAAACTTTATATCGTTGGAAAGGTCTAAGACTCCTAAATAGATATTTTACCACATTTATTGTTAAAAATGATGTAGGAAATTAATAGATTAATTTATGACAAGAGTGCACCTCAAAAATCTACATCATCACAGGAGTT